CGGCCCGTGTGAGTGCATTAACTCGCCTGTAGTCAGTGCACATGAGTAAACTTCCATCTGGCTCGGGTATGAGTACACACGGCGAGGCCCACTCACTGTTGCTCGGCTCTGCCAAGCCATGTTGTAACAGGAACTGGATCTCCTCCTTCAGGATATTCAGTTTGCTGGGAGAAACACGATAAGGAGCCTGCTTCACCGGACTTGTATCTTCTATCAGCTCTACATCAGTGACTATTGGACTGGGCTGAGGCACATCTGCAAATATAACTTTAAACTCTTGCAGGAGACACTGGATACTAGGGAGTGACAGTTTGGCAAAAGTTTTCAAAATCAAGTGGCTTGGGTTGGATTATTTGTCTATCGGCCACGCTGGTTCCGAATATGTTTGAATCTTTAATATCAGTGCATTAGAAGGTTTGTGGATACTTTTCGGTTCGACATAAAAAAAAACAAGAATAATGGTAGACATTCTTTATTATTGGCATGTATGCTTCAATTTATCAGCAGCACACTAGCACAGTTGGCACACTATCATTGGCTGTCCCCACAGTGTCCCCTCAGTCCCAGTGTCCCCACAGTCTAGCACTGGTAGTCCTCTTTCTTAGCCCTCCGCTTGTTTCTCTTCCTGGCCTCCAGCTTGTTCCAGGTGACCTGGTCCTGCTGCCAGGCAGAGCTGGCCACGTCTGCCGCCTCCGTGGTGAGCTTCACTCCTCTTTCCACTGCGGTGGTGGTGCAGGGCAGACCTGGCTCACTGTACGGTTCCTCCAGAAATTGCTCCAGTTCCTGGTCACTGTGCTGGAACAGGATGGGAGGGGAGGAGCTGGCCTTCTGCAGATCAACCAACTCTGACAGCTTGGTGGCTGCCAGATTCAGTTGAGGGTTCCTCACTTTCCTCACTGTCTTTCTCTTGTGCCTTTTTTCCTTCTTCCTCAGCTGCTTGATGATGTTTAGGGCCAACTCCCTCTCACTCTTGTCCATGGAGGCCAGCAGTGAGACCAGCACCACCTCGTGCTGGCCGAAGTAGCCGTTGAACTGGAGGTATGGAGTAAGCAGCTCCACTTCCTCCAGGGTGCAGTACGTCCTCACCCGGTTGATGATGGCGAGGAGGTGGCGTGGGCCCTCCAGTAGCAGATTCCTCTGCCTGATCTCCAGGAAGGAGGGCACGTAGATAAGGATGATGAAGGAGGTCATCCGTCTCTGTGACTCGCTGGGGGAGGTGGTGCTCATGTAGGCCCTCAGCTCCCTGCTCTCCGTGTTTTGCCATCTGGCGTTGGTCATGGCTCCGGCCCGTGCCCTGGCCCATCTCTCCTCAATGTGGCCGGACTCCACCGTCTTGGCCATCTCCAACAGATACCGGGTGTCCCAGCTGAACTCCTCCCAGACGACGGAGGGGATGGCATCCAGGAGAGACCTGAGGTAGGTGTTGGTGACGGCCTCGAATTCAACCACCGGAAGGTCCCACACGTTGCCGGTCAGCTTCCGAGCCTCCTCACCACTCCAGGAGGCGGGACCAGTGGTTGGGCCAGCGTAATGGTTGAATAGATGGCCGAAGAGCTTCTCCAGACTGTGGATCAGGCAGTGGATGTGGAGGAGAGGCCGTCCCAACAGCCTTTCAAACTCGGCGATGAAACCGTGATTATAGCCACTCAGTTTGTTGCAACCGTCGCTAAGGACAACCAGGAGGTCGGTGGTGTCAATACCGCGCTCCTCCAGGAAGGCCAGCAGGCTGGTGGCCAGGTCTACCCCCTTTCCCCCCACCGGGACCAGGTGACCAAGGAACTCCTCACCAGGGAAGCCGATCACTGCACAGTCTTCCCTCTTTTCCATGGCGAATCTCTTGTGGTTCTTCTCACCTACACCAGTCACTATCTTGTTCTCATTGATCCTCTCATCTACCATGAGACCTCTGACCTTGAATCCCCTGAACTTTTCTTTTTTCTGTTCTCGTGACCTCTTCCTGACTCTCTCCACTTTCTTCCAGTTAGTCACTTTAGACTTGTCCCCTTCAGTTATGATGTTGTCTGCAGCTCTGATGGTGTTTGCGATGTGAGCCACTGCATCATTGGATACCTTGAACCTGTCAGCAGTTTCTCCGATCCTGTCCTCGGCTTCTTTCTCCCTTTTCCTTTTCTCTGATCTTGCTCTCCTGTCGACCATAGCCTTGAACTCATTGTCATTGACATCCTTATAATCACTATCTTCTTCCTGAGCACTGTCATCCACTGCCGACACTTTACACGACATCCTCTCCATCTCCTCCTTACTCTTTGACCTCATCTTCTCAGTTTTCCTCTCTTCCTCAGCCCTTTTCTTTGCCCTCTTCGCTTCCTTCTCCCTCTCTTCTTTCAGCTTGGCAGTCACAATTTTGTCAACGCCATCAATGCAGCCCTCCCTTCCCGGTTTCCTCTGGGCTGCCAGGAAGCTTTTCTCTCGTTCGTGCACTTTGCTGTCGTCTGCCACATCAAACAACTTCTCAGCTATATCCTCGAACCTCATCTTCAGCTTCCCGTTCTTCGTTTTCTTCCTTTTCTGTTTCTGTCCATTTCCCTTCATCATCATCGTCTCCCTCCGCATCCTCCACAGGTCGTGGACTCTCATTTTCACCCTGATTTCAGAGATAGTGGGGACAGTGGCCTTCCTATACACATCCAGTACCTTCTCAGTCACCTTGTTGGTGGCATCCATATAATCAAAAGCATTTGTTCTTCTCCTTAACCTCTCGTTTTCTGCTTCATAAGCCAGGGCACTTCCAACTTCCTTGTTCAGAGGCAACTTGTTAGATGGCAGAGGCATCCGAACCCCGAACACCTTATCGTTACCCTGGCGCAGCTGAGTGTTGCTAATCTTAGGACGACCCATCTTGGTGGCGGCCCTTTGAACTAACTGCAAAACAACACAGAAAAAACAACTTTCAGCACTTCAATATCACCACCTATTGAACAATATTTTATTCAAAAGTACGGACTGAGATTTTGTCCTTAACTGTCCAAGTCAAGCTACTTGGGCTGAATTCGTTGATCAGTCCTGGGACGAATATTACCAACGGCGTGAATAGATTCCGTGGAATAAATTCAGGGCATTCCCGTCCAGGGAGCCTCAACAAACTCTGTAAATATTGCCATTGGCCTGCCATTGGCACATATACGGAGTTTGGTAATGTTCCATGAGCGGGAATGTCCTGAATTCATTCCACGGAATCTATCCACGCCGTTGGTAATATTGGGCCCTGGTTTTCGAAATATACGTATGTGGTGACTTGCAGCAAAAATATCGGCATAATTTGTAGCGCATTGAGTTGTAAAACAATAGCATATTATGAACCAGTGTACACAGTAGTCGAATAATCCAATTCAATAACTTGATTTTAACAGGTTGTGCCACATTGCCAGTCCCTTTATTATTTACAGTTTTTTCGCGTTTTTCATGCCAAACCCAAAAGTATCCACAAACTTTTTAATGCAATGATGTAAAAAACTCAAACATATTCGGAATTAGCGTGGCCGATAGACAAATAATCCAACCCAAGCAATTAGATTTTGAAAACTTTTGCCAAACTGTCACTCCCTACTGGATACCAACCCGCTGTTTCTGTGGTAAATAGATCACTTAGTTTATCAGAGTTCTTGAATTTGATTTCCTTATCACCCACTATAAAATCTACACCAGTCGCACACGTTACCTAATTCTCAGTTTTTTGCTTGGCACCACCAAATTTACTATCTCACTTTTCCTGGAGTGATACTCTTTCGGCAGATTTACATGCACCAATCTCTTATCTTTTCTCCTTCCAGGAGTAGCTATTACATAATTTAAATCACCTTCTTTTCTAAGAATTTCAAAGGGCCCTTGGTACCTCTACCAAATAATAATTCATAAGGAGAATATCTTAAACTTGCTTGTTTTGTACTCCTAATAGCATATTAAACATAAGGATTCCTTCATCCCAACCATTTGTGGTCTCCAAGCAGAATTTTGTCAGCATGCTGTTGAGCGTTTGGTGAAAGCGCTCGAGAGCACCTTGACTTTCAGGATGGTATGCAGCTGCTAAATATTGAGTGACGCCTAAAGTGGTCATTACTTGTTGAAATATCCCAGAAGCAAAATTTGTCCATTGATCAGACTGGACAACAATGGGAAGACTTAACTGGGTATTATTGATTTGGAAGTAATACGACGCAAGGGAATTGTCTCTGGATACTTAGTAGTGACACACGTAATATTCAAGAGAAACTGATTACCATTTTTAATCTTAGGGAGGGGACCAACATAGTGCTGATGCCATGTCTTCAATTTCAATACTATTTTACCTCACTAATACACAACAATAAACTGATTTATTTAACACAAACACAAACATATTATACAATAATATTTAATACATATTAAACAATAATTACATACAGGAACAAAGGAATAAAAAATATAGCCTCACCTACTGAACAAGCTGGGTAATTACCTCTGAACATGTAAGGAAGTTAGCTATATATATATACACCTGTATATATATGGTGTTACATAACAGTATGGATTAACTAACACGGATGATATATGGCAGGCTCAGAGCTAGAGAGCCATCAGTCACACGGCTGCAAGGTGTGCTGCCTAATTTTAGTCTGGCTCGTTCGCCGGTGAGTTAAATGCATATTCGATATGTCTATAGGTTTTACTAGGCCTTAGAGGTAATCTGAATACCACCTTCCAATGTGACAGGAAATGCTGATTTAAAGCTATGAATTCCTGTGCAGAAAATAACAGTATATGGCGATATATGGATCTGTGTTGGTGAATCCGGGTAGTGTTCTATATAAACACAATATGTAAATAGCCTGAACTTATACAACTATTATCTGTTTACAGTATATGTAGACAAAGGTGATGGTGGTAGTAGACACGGTGGTGGTAATGGTAGCAGTACACACGGTGGTGGTGATGGTGGTAAAGTGGTTTGTGGTGAAGGTAATTACTAATTATAATGACACACTCTTTCCATACAGGTGTGGGTGTCCCTGGCATTAACGGTGGTAATGACGGGCGTGATAGTAGGCAGCCTGATGTGGGTACGTGAGGGAGTGATGGGTAAACAGGACGACGTTCACACTAAGTCCTTCTGTACCAGCGTTCTCAAGATCCTTGTTTACCAGAGTGCGTGGCCTTCTGACCACTTAACCTCCTGATCACTTATCTTATAGACTATTTTAGTTCCAGGTCACTTAACCTCTACACCACTTAATCTCTGTACCATTTAACCTCTACACCACTTAACCTTTGCACCACTTAAACCTCGTGACCACTTAAACTCCTGGTCACTTAACCTTTGACCAATTAACCTCTACACCATTTACTCTTCTAACTACTTAACCTGGCCATTTAACCTTCTAACCACTTAACCTCATGAGCACTTAATATATACACCACTTAAATTATACACCACTTAACCTCCAGACCACATAACCTCTCGACCACTTAACTTCTAAACTATTTAACCTCTACAACACTTAACCTTTACACCACTTAGCCTCCAGGCCACTTAGCCTTCACACCTCGTAACCCCCAGACCACTTAACCTCTAAACTATTTAACCTTTAGACCTCCCTATGTCAAGAGCATGTAACCTCCACCTTATATGCAGTAACTTACACAGAACATGCATTATTCAAAATATGTTACATTTGAACCTCGTAAACTTCAGAGTACATATCCTCAAGCAATACATAACCAAGAGAGTACAGAACTTTCAGAGTACTTCCTTAAATAACATGTAACCTCCAGAATACAGAACATTTTGAGTAATACTCTCAATAACACATAACCTCTAGAGTACAGAACCTTCAGAGTACATACTTCAATAACACATAACTTAGAGTATAGAACTTTCAGAGTACTTCCTTCAATAACACGTAACCAAAAGAGCACAGAGCCTCCAGAGTACATGCACACTAAAGATCAAGAGCAAGTAAAGTATGGGTAGCCTACGTATAACCTCCGGAGCTGTTTCTATGGTGCAGTGCTTAGATTTATTTACTCAGCCTCCCCAGAAAGCTATAACGACCCACCATGACCTCAGGATGAGTAGAAAAAGTACTTCACACGTCCATCTTGTTTATAAATTTCATGAATATTTATTCGATCCAGGTACTTTAGTTATCATTTGCCTATTCGTCTTTAATTCACATTTTCCTTCTCTCCCATAAATCTTCTCATCTAGACACGATGTCTAAACATTTCTCTTGTCATACTTTACTGAAATTTTTCGAAATTTAGTCGCTCATTTATTGAAAATTATATGTAACATGTGTTGACTTAAATAATTTATATCATATCTAATGGAAATTATATTATCTTGGAAGAAATTCTTATTGTCCATATCGAAATTCCTGCAATATAAAAAACAAAACAATGAATTTAGTAAACAAAACTTGAGAATTTTACCAAACTTTCAATGTCTATTTTTCAGGTTGTCGCAGGTGGCCAAGCTGGTCTGGGACTCGAATGATAAGCAGCACCATCATGTTTTTAGCTGTAGTGGTGGGGTCTCTCTATTCTGGCTCCATAACCGCCTTCCTCGCTATTCCTTTCAGGTGGGTGGTGGTGGTGGTGGTGATCAGCATGCTCACCTCACAAGCGTGAAACTATGAGCAAGTTTCTTTACGCCGCCTGTCTACCAGCGAATTGGGAACCAGGATATTAATCGATTTTTGGATCGTGCTCCAGGGTAATGGTTAGCCAGTGTAGTTGACGAGTTATCCGGTCTTCTTGGACTATTCCTTGACACTGGGTCAAGCAGCTCAATAACGCATGGTCTTCTTGTTTTGTTGGTGACACCTTCTACACAGTAAACAATTTCACGCCTAGGTGGCACAAGGGCCGGCCATCCTCGAACTCGAGGAGCAACCATTATTATTAGTGGTGGTGGTGGCAAGGGTGGTGGTAGTGGTGGTAGTGGTTTTAGTAGTGATGGTGGTGGTTGTGATAGCAGTCGTGAAGTTAGTGGTGATGATGGTGATTACTGTAATAGTGTTTTATGTGTGTGTGTGTGTGTGTGTGTGTGTGTGTGTGTGTGTGTGTGTGTGTGTGTTCGTGCACAGGGTATGCTAAGCATAGTATACTAAGCATACTCAGAGCTTTTTGTTCATTTATTCATCTTAAATAAATTTATATTTATACTCTAAAATGCAGCCTTGCGCTTAGTAACAGCACTGTGTAAGAGAGCTAGGCCGGGGCTAGCTCCTCTCCCAAATGCATTCGTAGGTGCTGTTTCACCTCTATGAAAGCCTGGGCGGCGCGCAGCTCGCTGACGTCGCAATGGTCACAGTCATACCATGGTGAAATGGCAGATATGATGCGGCCTGGCGTGGAGCTTCAGTGTCGCTCCACCCACGAGTCCGTGTGGGTCGTGCGTGTTGTTTACATTCTTCCGTTCGTGTGTGTTGTGGTGCTTCTGCTACCCGAGTGTTATAGACTTATAATGATATAAATATTCTACTTGCGATGGAAACTGTGGTAGAACAGGACACTTGTTTAGTTAAGGAACTGCTGGAAAAGCCGTTTTCGAGAAGAAACATTTCAGAGAAAATTGAAATCGTAGGAAAACGTAGACCGTGTCCACGAATTCCAGGACTTACAAGGAAGCATACAGAAAAAAACAAAGAATATGTTAGGCATTTTAATATCACGAATTACAAAAGCACATATTGGTTGACTGGCTCAAATAAGTTAAACAAACTCTTCTGCTGGCCGTGTTTGCTCTTTTCAACTGATCGCAATGTATGGTCGAAAACTGGTTTTGATAATTTGAATACTTTGTCATTGGCTATTTCCAGGCATGATAAATCTTTTAATCACATAAACTGTTTTCTGCAATTTAATAGTTTCGGAAGAACGGGAATTGCTCATCAGCTTGATGAACAACAACGCTTCAGTGACCAAATGCACAATGAAAAAGTTAAGAAAAATTGGGAATCCTGAAAAGATTAATTGATGCTGTATGCTTTCTAGCAAAACAAGAACTTCCTCTTCGAGGCCATAACGAATCAGATACGTCTATAAATAAAGGGAATTACTTAGAGCTACTTGTACTGATTAGCCATTACGATCCGATGTTAGAAATTCATTTGAAGGAATCAACTATTTTCCGAGGTACATCTTCCGCCATTCAAAATGATTTGATTGCTGCAATCAGCTACTTAATCACGAAGCAAATAAAAGAAGATATTGAGAAAACTGATTTTGTGTCACTGATTTTGGATGAGACGTCTGATATAATCAATAAGTCACAGCTCTCTTCTGTTTTTCGTTTTGTTAACCAAAACTGTCAAGTTCAAGAAACATTTCTTCATTTTACAACGTGAGCGCTGATCGTTCCTCAGCAGGCTTACTGGAGCATGTTAAACATCTGCTGAGCGACTTTAACTGTGGGGAAAAACTTATTGCTCAGACATACGACGGCACTGCTGTTATGGCTGGTCAACAAAACGGTTTAAATAAGAAGGTACAGGAACTGCACCCGTGTGCTATATTTGTGCACTGTTACAGCCATTTGCTAAATCTGACACTTCAGCAATCAGCAAAAAACATCACAAGATGTAGAAATTTTTTTCAGACACTTTCATGTTTAGCAGCATTTTTCTCAAAGTCTTCAAAGAGAACATTTGCCCCTCAAGCTTTTCTTGAGAAACAACTACCCAGAGTAGCGCCTACAAGATGGAATTTTTCTTCAAGACTGGTCAACACCGTAAAAGAATATTATGACCAATTGACCTCATTTTTCCATCACATACTTGATCAGTCTGCAGAGTGGGACGATGACTGGTTTAAAGGGACAAGGATTTTTGTCTTTCCTCCAGAAATTCCAGACTCGCTTCCTGTTGAATGTTTTTTCCTCGGTGTTTTCTTTCACGGATGTTCTTTTCGACATTCTTCAAACAAAAGGAATGGACATTGCCTACTGCTCCAAAAAGGTTGAAGAGTTGATCGGAAAAATTAAGAAAATCGTGAAGACGACTTCGACAGGATTTTATAGGGAAGGGTTCCAGGAAGAAATGATGAAAACCCAAATAAAAGACCCAGAAGAAGTTAGCAATTAGAAGAAGCAGGCTGCAGAGCTCTGTTCAATGAAATCTTGGATAACATTTTAGTTCAACTAAGAGATAGATTTCAGACAGTCACACAGCTCGAATTCTTCTCTTTGTTGAACAGTTTCCTGACAGTGCAGTGAAAAGTTTGGAGAAGCAGTGTGGATCTTTCTTTGATACTGTAAGGCTGAAGAATGAGTTAAGTGTTCTTTACGTTTACCCAGAGTTCAAAGGTAAGCCTGTTTTCGATTTGATGAAAATCATGCATGAAACTAAACTCTATCTGGGAATGCCTGAAGTGTATAAACTTGTGAAGTTGATTGTCACTATAACTGCTACAAGTGCAACTGCAGAAAGGACATTTTCTGCTTTAAAAAGGATCTAGATCTATTGCAGAAGCACACAAGGGCAGGAAAGACTGTCATCCTTAGCGTTGATGTCAATAGAAAACACTCTGCTTGGGCACTTGGAAATGAAGCATACATTTTATGATGAAGTGACTGAAAAATTTATTGAAAAAATAGGAAGATGGAGTTCGTTTAAAAGGGAAAGAAAAGGGGAGAAAAAACCAAGGAGAAGGAGAAAGATAAAACTTTTGTACACTTCTATATACTAAAATACAATTAAATTGTTTATTTATTTATTTCACTTTTTCAAATACTTTTCCTTTCTTTTTTTAGGCTATTTTAAATTTAAATGAGAGAATAGGTAGCAGGCTAAGTTAATAATACAATGGCATGCACAGGCCTACTTGAAAGCTTTTATTATCATATTATCTCAAAAAAGTATTTAATGTTAAACCACCTAGGTACAGCCCCTTCCCCGCTCTAAAAAATAGAGAGCATGCTCAAGATCTTCGGTCAGGATTCGCCACTGGTGTACTGCCACCAACTCTCTTTTCCATTTTCCTGGCTGCTTTCCTTACTCGTGCCAGCGCCAATTTAGCAGGCTGGGTAGACATCTAGTACCAGATGAAGGGTCTTTTCAACATAAGATGACGTCAGGCAAGAACAAAGATGTCGGCAGTTTCCATTACTGAGCTTCAGTATGCAGACGACTTCACCCTTGTCGCTCACACCGAACGCGACCTACAGGAGATCCTGAACACCTTCGCAGATGCGTATGCACACTTCGGCCTTGAGGTGAATGTACGTAAGATTCAGATTCTCTTTCAGCCTGCCCCTGGTTCAGCCACACCTCCACCCAGCTTATCTGGACTACCCTTTCTAATGTTACCCACTTTCGGTATCTCGGCTCCCACCTGCCCACCACCGCAGATATTGATGAAGAGATTTAGCATCGGATCAGATATGCATCTCAAACCTTTGTCAGACTCCGAAACCGTGTCTTCAGCTGTAGGGAGCTGAAATTATCTGCAAAGTTACACGTATATCGAGCAGTGGTCCTCCCCACCCTGCTATATGGCAGCGAGACATGGGTCACATACAGGAGGCACCTCAAGGCACTTGAGAACTTACAACAACGTAGTCTACGTTTCATCCTCCGAGTTCGCTGGGAAGACGAGAGAACAAATGCCAGTGTTCTTACTGCCACCAACTGTAGGATCATCGAGGCTACCATTATCCATGAACAACTTCGCTGGATTAGCCATGTTACCCGCATGGACAACAGTAGACTGCCAAAGCAGCTACTTTACAGTCACCTTACGAATAGTAAATGTAACGCTGGCTGGCAACTGAAAAGGTATAAGGATAGTCTTAAGGCAAATCTGAAAAAAGTGCCAAATGGACGCCCTCACCTGGAAGACGATTACTCCACACCGTAACGCTTGGAGGATCACCACACAAGAAGCTTTCGAGTTAGCCCGACTGCACAAAGAGGGAGACAAGCGCCAACGCCGGAAAAACGCTACCGCCGCCCCTCCCGCACTAGACGTAGCCTCCACATGTGCAACATCTGTGATCAACCCTGCCGGTCCCGTATCGGCCTCTTTAGTCATCTCAGAACTCACCAACCTAGGTGATATCCTTAATAACTCATATCATTATATCATAGCTGGATGATCGTCATACTCGTTTCCGAGTGACAGCAAAGTATTAGTAGTAGTGTCTTATGTGATGGAGATCTTTCTCTATAGTGGCTCCTTCACCGCCTTCCTGGTGTATTAAAACGCATATATTTATTGACTTAATGATGCAGATGGGAAGAGTGACTAAAGTTGGGTGGAATGAAGGAATGTAGGAAAAAATAAAGAAATATGCTGAAGTTCATGACGGGTGTAGTTTGATGTGTGATTATGTATGTGCTTATGAAGTAAATTAATAATATCTGCTGTTACTCTCGCTGAAGTACCTAAATTTTGTATCTCACTCTAGGTCACAGCCCATCAATTCACTGGATGAGCTGCTGGAGACCCAAGTAATTCCCGCCATCAGGAGACTCAGTAGCCCCTACAGCTTCTTCCTGGTGAGTGTTGTACCTGAGTCTTACAGCTATCACTGATCTATTACAACACTTTCGTGGGGAGGGTTGGACTTAGCTCTCACGGTTTTATTGTAACTCCTTCCTGGGGGGGGGTTGAACCTGGCTCGCATATTTCTCATTGCTCTATCAAATTTGTCTTTATATTGGACGTGTGACGAGTGGTGCTGCCACATACCATACTGCTCACCTCCTCGGCCACGTGGCGGATTCATTTAGTCCTGTCAGCTCTTCGACTAGTGACTCAACACCCCACGAATGACACTGGTACCTTCCACTGTATAGGGGTAATTGGCGGGAAAACTAAGGGTATATAAAGTTGGTGAGCCTGGATACCAATAAGGAATAATGAAAGTGTTCATTAAGTTTCTACCATTGATTCTTATCTTTATTGTATAAAAGAAGACATATTTAATGCAAATGACTCAAAGCATGAAAATGCCGGCAAATGGGAGCAAGAGAACATGGGTGTACTTACCAGCCACTAGCCAGCGAGGTAATGCACAATTGCACATCCACCAACAAAGAAATTTCAACTAATATATATTGACCAACGTGACTGGTAGTAAAATTTCCTTTTTATTTTATTTTATTGTATTTTATTTTATTTCATTTTATTTTATTTTATTTTAGTTTTTGAGGTAAGGCTATATGCGTGTACACATATTTGTTATACCATTTAATGAAGATCTGTGTGATGATCGAGGGAAACTATAGAATATCACCATGCTCTATACACAGATGCCAAGAGGTAAAGTCCTGGATGGAAAGTAAGGGTTAAGGTCTCTCCCGTAACATTGCTGTACTATTATTGTTCACTCATTACACTATATTTCACGTGACAAAAAAGATTTCCAATAACACAAATTAATTACTAAATTATACAAAGCAACAGCAATATTTCTAAGACAGTATTACACTTCTTAACTGTAATATTTTTATTATTTTAGGGATTTAATTTTATTTTACGTAATTATAATGGCGAGCATTGTCAATCTCATGTAAGAATGGACTATATTTCCTGGTGCTCTGGTGCCTGATGTGAAGCTTTAACTAAGTCGACGATTATCCCTATTTGGCATAACACACACACACACACACACACACACACACACACACACACACACTACTGCTACTACTTTGCTGTCACTCGGAATCGAGTATGACGACCATCCAGCTATGAGACAATGATATGAGTTATTAGGGATGTCACCTTCGTTGATGAGCTCTAAGGTGACGAATGAGGTCGATACGGGACCTGCAGTGTGGAGGGCTACATATAGTGTGGGAGGCGCGGAGGCAGCATCTTTCCGACGTTAGCGCTTATCTGCCTCGATTTGCAGTCGGGCTAACTCGAAAGTATTGACACCTTCTCGTGTGGTGCTCCTCCAGGGGGGTTGATTTGGCACTTTTTCAGGTTTATCTTAAGACTATCCTTATACCTTTTCAGTTGCCCGCAAGCGTTACGTTTACTCTTTGTTAGGTAACTGTAAAGTAGCTGCTTTGGCAATCTATTGTCGTCCATGCGGGCAATATAGCCAGTCCAACGTAGTTGTTCATGGATAATGGTAGCCTCGATGCTCCTACAATTGGTGTCAGCGAGAATACTGGCATTTGTTCTCTTGTCTTCCCAGCGAACTTGGAAGATGGAATGTAGACTACGTTGGTGAAAATTTTCAAATGCCTTGAGGTGCCTCCTGTATGTGACCCATTCTCACTGACATAAAGCAGGGTCGACAGGACCACTATTCGGTATACGTGCAACTTTGAAGATAATTTCAGCTTCCTACAGCTGAAGACAAGGGTACGGAGTCTACCAAAGGCTCGAGATTCACACCTGATCCGATACTGAATCTCTTCATCGATGTCCGCGGTATTAGAAAGGTGGGAAGTTGGGAACCAAGATATTGAAAGTAGGTAACATTATCCAGGGTAGTACTGTTAAGCCGGATGGATGGTGGAGGTGTGGCTGAAAGAAAATCTGAGTCTTACGTACATTCACCTCAAGGCCGAAGTGTGCATAAGCATCTGCGGAGGCGTTCAGCATCTCCTGTAGGTGGGGGACACCTTTGTTCCTGCCTGGGGTTGTCTTTTGTTGAAAGGATCCTTCATCTGGTACTGGATGTCCACCCCACCAGCTAAATTGACACTGACACGAGTAAGTAAGGAGGACAGCCAAGGAAATGGAAAAGAGAATTGGTGACAGTACACATCCTTGGTCTGAATGGGGAAGAACTCAGACTGGGTGACATCATGTAAGCCACTGCCGTTCACGCCATCGTGGAATTGCCTCACAATGGCATTGAATTTTGGTGGACAGCCAAAACGGCTGATGGTCCGCAAGAGGACTTCCCTGTTGACCAAGTCAAAGGCCTTTGTTAATTTCATGAAGACCATGTGCATGTTACGACGCTGTTCTCTGCATCTTTCCTGTATCTGGCGGGCAGCAAAGATCATGTCAGTGGTTCCACGTGTTGGTCTAAAGCCACACTGAGATTCTGGGAGGAAGCTTTCCGGCTCAGGAAGGAGTCTGTTTCGGAGGACTCGGGCGATAATCTTGCCAGCAACGGACGGCAGCGAGATCTCGAGGTAGTTGCCACAGTCTGACCAGTCTCCCTTGTTCTTATAAATATTGACGATGGAGGCGTCTTTAAGAGCATGGGGGATTTCCTCCTTTTCCCATATATCCTCCAGGAGAGATTGGAACCGGCTGGTAAGCAGAGGTCCTCCTGCTTTATGAACCTCGTCTGGGATTCCACCAGCCCTTGAGTCTTTGTTATTTTTCATCTGTTTGATGGCAGTAGCTACCTCATCCAGGGATGGAGGATAGCTGAGGTGATGAGTCTACTCTGTATGCTGAGGGACCTGCCGGACAGTCACGGCATCCACATCGGTATTTCGATTGAGCAGCGAATGGTAGTGCTCTTTCCAGTGCAGAAGGTAGCTTTCTTTGTCTTTAATTAGGGAGTTACCGTCGGATGAGCTGACGGGGGCTACGCCCTGAGTGATTGGTCCATAAAATGTTTTAGCAGAATTGACAAAATTCACACATCTTGTGTTGATCTGCATATTTTTGCATTTAACGTGCTTTATTTTAAACCAGACGTTTTTTAGATTGCGAAGTTCGTGCTGGGCCGCTGCGTCCTTCTTGGGGAAGGCTTCAGCTTTGGTCTGAGACTGAGGGTTGTTCTGCCAGTCAGTTACAGCAGCACGTTTATCATTTATGAGTACATTGATTTCCGGGTCACTTTCATCAAACCAGTCCTGGTGTATTCCTTCGATCTGGCCCTGTAGATTTTTGTCATGACAGTGTCGAAAATACCCCCATTCTGCTCTGGGATTTGGATTGTTTCTGGTCAGGTTGCTTATCAGCCCATGTTCGAGCTGCTCTGCTCTCTGAAGGCAAGTGCTACCGCTGGATACTCCAGACGCTTATTGTTAAAACCTCTTTTGTAGGCTTGCTGACTTTACCGTTTGGGGACAATGTGAAGTGAGAACTTGGCTCTAACGAGCCGATGATCGATCAGTGTCGCAATGGTTTAAGCCATGCATGGCTCGCGTGATGAGGACATCTAGCGATCTCTTTCTCTGACAATAATATATTCAATAAGATGCCAAAATTTGGATAGTGGGTGTTTTGTCACGAACCCTTGAAATTCTCGGCTTGACTAAACAAGGTATTGGTGATATTGAGGTTGTATTCAACATGCTTGCTGAGGAGTAGGCCTTTGGGATTACACTTGCGTAGTCCATTTCTTCCTATGATTCCCTGCCAAATTTCAGCATCTGTGCTAACTCTGGCATTAAAATCACCTAGGAGCACAAACTTATCTTCTCTGAGGATAGAGGTTAACACCCTTTCAAGGTCGGCATAAAAGGCCTCCTTGATGCCATCTTCTGCATCCACTGTTAGGGCATATACACTGATGAAGAAGACATGATGTTAGTGACTCAGAAAGACTCGGAGTGTCATGAGGCGCTCGTTGATCCCAACAGGCATTTCAGTTAGCCTATGTAGGATATACTGGCGGATGGCAAAGCCAACTCCATAAAATCGGTTTCTCTCAGCAGGAAGTTTACTCTTCCAAAAGAAGATATAGCCAGACCCCGTTCTGTGAGTCGACCCTTGCCTGGGAGCCGGGACCCAGTAATGGCTGCTATGTCGATGTTATACCTAGTCAGCTCTTTTGCCACAAGGGCGATTCTTCTTTCAGGACACTCATTCCATGCAGCGACAAAAGAGGTTGTATAGTTTGTTTCTGTTTTGATCTGTGATTATAACTGTGTTTTCGACCGCATAATGATGACCTTACTGGGTGCAATTGCCCAGTCAAGTTGGTTCTATAGGCAGGCTATGTTTAAGGCACCTTTTCTAGCCCCCTCCTCATGTGGGGTGAGCAAAGACAGAACCGGATTGCACTGCTGCCTAGATCCCAATGCCGCCCATGTGCAGAGTTGTGACTAGAGACTCCCGGCAGTCATCTCTGCCTGTCCTCTTTGCCACTCCTCCATCGCCATAGGACTTTTGGGGGTATAGGGGTTTTGATGATGATGAGAAGTATGATGAGCTGGATGATGGCTGTGCACAAGTTGATTTATGTAGTGAAGCAGGAGCGCAGGCTGCAACCACACATCTTGGCTCTCCCGTTTCCTGATCACGTGGTGCAAGTGTTGCAATGACTGGGCAAAGGGAGAGTTGTAATGGACTGACGATAGCCCAGCTTCTTGGGTTAAACCTTAGTAGCCTGTCCATCATACATTGCCTTTGTCCGGCAGTGTAGTCGTTGGGTTCCCATCTTGGTCACCTGTTCTGTCTATGCCGCCGTTGGGGTCTAGTTGGAGCTCCGTAAGCATGTCTGCCTGACGTGCGGCTCCGCTGCAGATTTTTAATTCGGGGTTTACTCCCGTAGCCTTATACATAGCAAAGTTAATCTGTAAGGCAACAGAGCAGTGGATGGAAGACACCAGGACGTGTGCACATACCTGTGGGCCTATGCGCCGTCCCTCTGGGGCCCACTCCTGCTCCGAGACTCCCTGCTGGTTTTGCCTATTCCCATGAGGCACCTAAATACCGTGTGTTGCCACGAGGAGGCACAACAGGAATTTTGATTGTGAAGAGGCTGTGTACTGGCAGGAGAAGACTTGTGCAAGTTGCTTCCCTATTTACCACGAGGGCTAGCCAGCGGAGGTAGCTGAAAGTGAGGGGAAGCAAGCAGTGCTTCTACCTTAACACTGACATAATGCTACTACACTAGATGCATGACACCACCCTGCGTGCACACATGGAGCACACACACACACACACACACACACACACACACACACACACACACACACACACAATTAAACATACAAATATCCACTTATTATATCATTATATATTTTATATTAGTACACTTATATCTTCCTCGCAGACGGAAAACTCTGGGATGGTGGGCAAGAAGGTGCGGGAGGTGATGGCGGTGTTCAGCGGTACTGAAGTGTCGAGCTGGAACTTCCTAAAGGAGGTGGCCCAAGGATCTTTCGGCCTCATAGGTGACTATTTTATTGAACCAACACACAATATCTGCTGTATCCTCACACAAGTCCTACTGCACCATCACTCTGGTTCTGCTGCACCATCACCCAGGCCCTGCTACATCATCACACAGGTCCTGCTGCACCATCACCCTGGTTCTGCTGCACCATCACACAGGTCCTGCTATACCACCACACAGGCCCTGCTGCATCATCACACAGGCCCTGCTGCATTATCACACAGGTCCTGCTGCACTATCACACAGGTCCTGCTGCATCATCACACAAGATCTGCTGTACCATCACACAGGTCCTGCTGCACCATCACACAGGTCCTGCTGCATCATCACACAACAACTGCTACACCATCACAAAGGTCCTGCTACACCATCACACATCTGCTGTACCATCACACAGGTCCTGCTGCACCATCACACAGGTCCTGCTGCATCATCACACAGTCCTGCTGCACCATCACACAGGTCCTGCTGCATCTCATTGCTGAAGATCTGCTGTACCATCACACAGGTCCTGCTGCACCATCACACAGGTCGTGCTGCATCATCACACAAGATCTGCTACACCATCACAAGGTCCTGCTACACCACACAGTCCTGCTGTACCATCACAAGTCCTGCATCATCACAGCCTGTGCATCATCACACAGGTCCTGCTGCACCATCACACAGGTCCTGCTGCACCATCACAAAACTTGCACCATTACAAAATGACCTGCTCCACCATCACACAGGACCTGCTCCACCATCACACACGGTATCATCACACAACAACTGCTACATCACACAGGTCCTGCTACACCATCACACAGGTCCTAAGGTACCATCACACAAGTCCTGCTACATCACACAGGTCCTGCTGCATCATCACACAGGTCCTGCTGCACCATCACACAGGTCCTGCTGTACCATCACAAAAATCCTGCTGCACCACACATGACCTGCTCACTACAGACCTGCCCACCATCACACAGGTCCTGCTGCACCATACCACAGGTCCTGCTGTACCATCACAGGCGTGCTGAACCATCACATGGGTCTACTGCACCATCACACAGGTCCTGCTCCATCATCACACAAGATCTGCTGTACCATCACACAGGTCCTGCTGCACTATAACACAGGTGCTGCTGCACAATCACACGGGTCCTGCAACATCACACACAGGTCCTGCTGCAGACACACAGGTCCTGCTGCATCATCACATAGGTCCTGCTGCATCATCACACAGGTCCTGCTGCACCATCACACAGGTCCTGCTGCACCATCACCAGGTCCTGCTGCATCATCAAACAAGATCTGCTGTACCATCACACAGGTCCTGCTGCATCATCACACAGGTCCTGCTGCACCATCACCCTGGTTCTGCTGCACCATCACACAGGTCCTGCTATACCACCACACAGGCCCTGCTGCATCATCACACAGGCCCAGGCTGCATATCACACAGGTCCTGCTGCACTATCACACAGGTCCTGCTGCACCATCACACAGGTCCTGCTGCATCATCACACAACAACTGCTACACCATCACAAAGGTCCTGCTAAACCATCACACAGGTCCTGCTGTACCATCACATAAGTCCTGCTGCATCATCACACAGGTCCTGCTGCATCATCACACAGGTCCTGCTGCACCATCACACAGGTCCTGCTGCACCATCACAAAAATCTTGCTGCACCATTACACATGACCTGCTCCACCATCACACACAGGACACTGCTCCACCATCACACAGGTCGTGCTGCATCATCACACAACAATCTACACCATCACAAAGGTCCTGCTACACCATCACACAGGTCCTGCTAGCTCATCACACAAGTCCTGCTGCATCATCACACACGGTCCTGCTGCATCATCACACAGGTCCTGCTGCACCATCACACAGGTCCTGCTGCACCATCACAAAAATCCTGCTGCACCATTACACATGACCTGCTCCACCATCACACAGGACCTGCTCCACCATCACACAGGTCCTGCTGCACCATACCACAGGTCCTGCTGCATCATCACACAAGATCTGCTGCACCATCACACACGTCCTGCTGTACCATCACACAGGCGCTGCTGAACCATCACATGGGTTCTACTGCACCATCACACAGGTCCTGCTCCATCATCACACAAGATCTGCTGTACCATCACACAGGTCCTGCTGCACCATCACACAGTCCTGCTGCAGCATCACACAGGTCCTGCTGCATCATCACATAGGTCCTGCTGCATCATCACACAGGTCCTGCTGCACCATCACACAGGTCCTGCTGCACCACCACTCAGGTCCTGCTGCATCATCAAACAAGATCTGCTGTACCATCACACAGGTCCTGCTGCATCATCACACAGGTCCTTCTGCATCATCACACAGGTCCTGCTACATCATCACAGGTCCTGCTGCACCATCACACAGGTCCTGCTGCACCATCACACAGGTCCTGCTGCACCATCACACAGACCTACTCCACCATCACACAGGCCCTGATACATCATCACACAGGCCCTGCTACACCATCACACAGGTCCTGCTGCATCATCACACAGGCCCTGCTGCACCATCACACAGGTCCTGCTGCACCATCACAAAGGTCCTGTTGCATCATCTCATAGGTCCTGCAGCATAATCACACGAGTCATACATCATGACACAGCTGCACCATCACACAGGACCTACTCCACCATCACACAGGCGATGATACATCATCACACAGCCCTGCTACACCATCACACAGGTCTCTGCACCATCACAGGCCTACTCCACCATCACACAGGCCCTGATACATCATCACACAGGCCCTGCTGCATCATCACACAGGCCTTTGCACCATCACACGTGACCTGCTGCACCATCACACAGGCCTCCTGCACCATCACACAGGTCCTGTTGCATCATCACACAGTTCCTGCTGCATCATCACATAGGTCCTCCTGCACCATCACACAGGTCCTGCTGCACCATCACACAGGTCCTGCTGTACCATCACACAGGTCCTGCTGCATCATCACATGGGTCCTGCTGCATCATCACACATGCCCTGTTGCATTATTCTCCAGCGTCCTGCTGCACCATCACACAGTTCCTTCTGCACCATCACACAGTTCCTGCTGCATCATCACATAGTCCTGCTGCACCATTAGACAGGTCCTGTTGCACCATCACACAGATCCTGGGCACCATCACACAGGTCCTACTGCATCATCACACAGTTCTGCTTCATCTTCACATAGGTCCTCCTGCACCATCACACAGGTCCTGCTGCACCCATCACACAGGTCCTGCTGCACCATCACACAGGTCCTGCTGTCATCACACAGGTCCTGTTGTATCATCACACATGCCCTGTTGCATTATCACACAGGTCCTGCTGCACCATCACACAGTTCCTTCTGCACCATCACACATTCCTGCTGAACCATCACACAGGTCCTGCTGCACCATCACACAGTTCCTGCTGAACCATCACACAGTTCCTGCTGCATCATCACACAGGTCCTTCTGCACCATCACACAGGTCCTGCTGCATCATCACACAGGTTCTGCATCATCACACACGTTCTGCTGCATCCTCATACAGGTCCTGCTGCATCATCACACACGTCCTGCTGCACATCACACAGGTCCTGCTGCACCATCACACAGTTGCTGTTAAACCACATCACACAGGTCCTGCTGCATAATCACACACAGTTCTTACTGTACCATCATACACAGGTCCTGCTGCATCATACAGGTCCTGCTGCATCACCACAGGTCCTCCTGCACACACAGGTCCTGCTGCACCATCACACAGGTCCTGCTGCATCATCACATAGGTCCTCCTGCACCATCACACAGGTCCTGCTGCCATCACACAGGTCCTGCTGCATCATCACCATGGGTCCTGCTTCATCATCACACACATGCCCTGTTGCATATCACACAGGTCCTGTTGCACCATCACACAGTTCTTTCTGCACCATCACACAGTTCCTGCTGAACCATCACACAGGTCCTGCTGCATCATCGCACAGGTCCTACTGCACCATCACACAGGTCCTGCTGCACCATCACACAGGTGCTGCTGCACCATCACACAGGTCCTGCTGCATCATCACACAGCTCCTGCTGCATCGTTCCACAGGTCCTGCTGTATCATCACACAGCTCCTGCTGCATCGTCGCACAGGTCCTACTGCACCATTACACAGGTCCTGCTGCACCATCACACAGGTGCTGCTATACCATCACACAGGTCCTGCTGCATCACATGGGTCCCGCTGCATCATCACACATGCCCTGTTGCATTATCACAGGTCCTGCTGCACCATCACACAGTTCCTTCTGCACCATCACACAGTTCCTGCTGAACCATCACACAGGTCCTGCTGCATCATCACACAGGTCCTGCTGTACCATCACACAGGTCCTGCTGCATCATCACATAGGTCCTGCTGCATCACCAGGTCCTGCTGCATCATCAACCAGCTCCTGCTGCATCGTCGCACAGGTCCTACTGCACCATTACACAGGTCTTGCTGCACCATCACACAGGTGCTGCTGCACCATCACACAGGTCCTGCTCCATCATCACACAAGATCTGCTGTCATCACACAGGTCCTGCTGCACTATCACACAGGTGCTGCTGCACAACCACAGGGTCCTCCTGCACCATCACACAGGTCCCTGCAGCATCACACAGGTCCAGCTGCACCATCACACAGTCCTGCTGCACCATCACTCAGGTCCTGCTGCATCATCAAACAAGATCTGCTGTACCATCACACAGGTCCTGCTGCATCATCACACAGGTCCTTCTGCATCATCACACAGGTCCTGCATATCATCACACAGGTCCTGCTGCACCATCACACAGGTCCTGCTGCACCATCACTCAGGTCCTGCTGCACCATCACACAGGACCTACTCCACCATCACACAGGCCCTGATACATCATCACACAGGCCCTGCTACACCATCACACAGGTCCTGCTACATCATAACACAAGGCCCTGCTTCA